GGCGTCCGGACCATGCATCAACCAATCATTACTCTCTACCAAAAAAAAAAATCTTTTAGAGGCAGAAAGAGATTCGAGAGGAACCTTAACATCGAAAATTACATGAGTTGTTCTTTTAGAGTGTTATATGAGTATAATTTTTAAATTAAATTTGAATTATAACTTGAGTTTAAAGTTATAATTTGAATAAAGTTGAATAAAATTGAATAAAATTAAAACTTAAAAAAACGTAAATTTAAATAAAGTTGTAACTTGAATTTAAATTTTTTTAAATTTAGTTGTAAATTATTTGTTTGATTAAGACCTATAATCACTGCACAAAGTAAAACTTTATATCGTATTGCATGCAAAGAAAATTGTCTCATTATATACTCGTAATTTTTTGTCTCATTATATACTCGTAATTTTATTTTGATATAATGAATACTATATTTTTAGATAATTTCTCGTCAGTTATAACATGTTTCCTAATTAATATTTTATTTAGAATTCATGTTTTATAATAATTGATGATATATAATCACCAATATGTTGGATCCTTAATCCAACATTGAGCTTATATGTGAATAATTATGTGTTACAAACTGTCATATAAAATTAAGTCCATTTAAAAGTGATATGTTAAAGTTTAAGTAATTTGAGCTTTAATATATCTGATAGGATGTGAGTTTTTAATGTGTAGAGACTTACAATCTATTTGGTATGAATGAAAAGTGAAAGGAAAGAAAATGTTGGAGGGATTTTTAGATGGAAATTAGAAAGTTAGTTTGTTTGGTAGAAAGGAAATTGTGAAGGAAAGGAAAATTGAATGGAAATTTTTATTAGTGGGTCCCACCATATTCAATCCCTTCAAAAGTGTATGGATTTTAGGAAGAAAAATATGGATAACTACACAAATGAAGTCAAATTACTGAATTGTCCTCATTTTTCATCCAAAATTGTCTTCATTTGGGCAAAAAAGTAATTACACCAATAATAATTTTTCCTTGCCTTTAGTTTCACTTCCAATACCAAACAAGGGAAGGTAGATTCATTTTCTTTCTTCCCTATCATACCAAACAAGTCAAGAAAAAATCAAAATTTTTTATATCATTCTAATTTTCTATGCATTATAGTTTTCTTTTCCCTCCCATTTTCTTTCCTTCTTACCAAACAGAGTGTTAAAGGTAATTTTTATTGTTATGATGGGCTAAAATAAAAATATCAAAAGATAACAAGGAGGTTATCTATATATAAGGGTTATGGTCCCCAGATCACACGTGACATTCTATTCTTTCTGACATCCCATCATCAGAAAGAGATCAGTGAGAAAGCTAAAGAATTCTCTAGGAAAACGTATTGATCTGGAAAGCAAACCGCAAGGCTCAAGAGAGTAATTTATTGTTATGAATTTAGGTACGCTTCCGCTTATTGATCTATTGATTCTTGGCGATCCAACATGAACATTCTTGAATTTTATTGGGAGATAGTTTTCACCAAAAGGATATTTTCTAACAAGTGGTATCAGAACCTCTTCATGTTGAATCATTGAGAATTGAATTTATTTTCGATCCATGATTATATTTTGGTGTTCTCAAATTTAACAACTCCGGGTTTGGTATTGCTAGATTTGAGAACAATTTTGGATGTTCTTTTTGTGGTTTTCTTCCATGATTTCGGATGAAATTTATGTAAAATTGGATATTATAGTTTCAAAATTTTTTGTGCAATTTCAGTTAATCTTTAACCCAATAGGTTAATTGGTCAGCGACAACCATTATTGGCAGAGTTGGCAAGGACAGCGGTGGCTGAATAAAAAAAAAGAGAACGGCAACCTAAGGCTACCGAAAGAATTTTTTTTTACAGTGTTAGCTGGCGGCACCCTTTGCCGCCGCATGTGTCAGGAGTGTTTGGCCGCAACCGTTGGGCTGGGCCGGAAAAGAACAGGCGCAGCCATCTGGCCGCGGCATCTGCAACTGGCGGTCATTTGGTTACTGGTCCACTGTCCACCTAGGGGTCGAAGAAGACCCCTAGGGTTGCAGCAACTTTGGACTGCGACCTAAAGCTGCAATAATATGCACAGGCCCAATTAGGCCCGTGACTTGAAGACCAGCTGCAAGCCTATATAAAAAAAATTATTTTTATGGCTTCTAGGTTAACACAGGCCCAACTGGGCCCGTGTTTCAAAAAAAAAAGAGAAACCAACGGACTGGAATAAGGATCTGGGTTAGGTTAACCCGACCCGGTCTAGCCATGACCAAGTCAACCATTGACTTTGATCGATTTTTTCTAGTGCAATTTAAATTTGAATATTGGTATGTTTATATATATCTATATATATTTCTAGATGAATTAATTGAGGCAACATGTCGCCAAAGTGACCTCTCTTGTGAATATTAATTTGTCTTTAAATATAAACAGTTGTGTGCATGTAACTTATGTGAATATTGACTAGCCCAAAGGAAGGTCGATATTTAATAGAATTGCATGAGCACCTGTGGTAATAAACGTGTGATGATTATTCAGTTTTACATGTGAATAATAAATCAGCCCAAAGGAAGATTTATTGTTCGACATGTTCTTATTATCAGTTGTTGATTACTACACTAAGATCTCATTTACAAGTTAATATTTGTGTCTAAAGACAAAATATTAATAGAGTGCCCGGTATCTTAAGATGAGGTTTACCTTTATTTCAAATTATTTCTATTTTTGTTTTGAGACTTATGTAAGCTTTTTTTTTTGTTCTCTAGATTCAGCTACAAATACTCCTGCTAATATTACTGGCAACATCAACTTTATTCTTTTGTTAAATGGCACTAACTTCAAGTCATGGCAAGAGAACCTTTTGGTAGTTCTCAGAGTCATGGATCTCGACCTAGCGTTAAGGGTTGATTCTCCAACACCTCTTACGGATAAGAGTACCTTTAATGAAAAGAGAGATATAAAAAGGTGGGAGAAATCAAATCGCATGTGTATGATGATCATGAAAAAGGTCATTCTGAAATCATTCAGAGGCACAATATTTGAAAAGATTACTACTGCTAAAAAGTTCCTTGCAGACATCGAAAAGAGGTTTGTCAAGAATGAAAAGGCTAAAATAGGTACGCTCTTGACAAGCCTAATTTCAATGAGGTATAAGACCAAAGGTAATATCAGGGTGTGCATGGAGATGTCACATCTTGCTTCAAAGTTGAAAGCACTTAAATTAGAACTCTCTTAAGACTTACTAGTGCATATGGTTTTGATATCCCTTCCGACACAGTTTAGCCAATTTAGGGTGAGCTACAACTGTCAAAAAGAGACTTGGTCTCTGAATGAGCTCATCTCAAACTGCGTTCAAGAAGAGGAAAGGCTGAAGCAAGATAAGTCAGTAAGTGCTCACCTGGCCTCAACTTCTAAGAACAAGGACAAGTGAAACAAAAGGAAGAAGGATAAGGAAGCTGCTAATACAACACCTCAAAAGAAACGGGTGCAACCGGAAGGTACTAGTTGTTTCTTCTGTTGAGCTGAAGGGCATAAGAAGAAGCATTGCACCAACTACCACACATGGGGTGCTAAGAAAGGTATGCTTCTTAATTTGGTTTGTCCTGAGGTTAATTTAACTTCAGTACCTAGACACACGTGGTGGATAGATTCTGGT